AGGGAGCAGGTATTAAAAAAAAACTATCACGAGTGTTCAGCAAACATTCATGAAAGCAGCCTGGACTCATTACCTGATCTGTTCTCAACACTTGTGCCGCTAATTGAGCAACCGCGTTCCCATTCTCAGGTGAAAGAAAATCGATGACATTTCAAATAGCCAGAATAAAGCAGTAGGAAAGGTGGAGTTTGTCTTCTCAACTCCCTGCCTGCCATGAAATCTCACCGGGACGTCCGTGCTGCCAAGCGTTGCTGTTTGAAAGCTTAAGTATGCTCTGGGAGATCCTCACAAGCAGGTACGCCGCCGTGGTTTTAAGCCCTGTTTAAGCACTGGGTGCTGGAGGTCAGATGGGAGCTCAACCCAGCCCAAGGTCCTGTTGCCGGCAGCAGAGACCTTCCTGGAGCAAAGATGTCGCGTTCAGTAGTCACGATACAGCAGCCTCGTAACCCCTTCGTGAAACCGCTTGCTCTCCCGGCCTCTGTGACAGCCCGTGGGATCACGCCGCACAGCTGGGTTAGGGCTGGAGGAGAATTTCATGCCCGGCTGCCGGAGCGGATGGAGGCGCGAGGGCTGACTCAGCGGTGGGCTTGGCTCACCCACGTGGGGTTCCCCAAGGTGCTGGGGGCTGAACCACCTCTGGTGATGGAAAATCACGAGACACCTTCCTTGTGCCCCACCGGGGTGGGAACGTGGAACCTGTGAGAATCAGGCAATGGGATCTGTGTTCTTCTTGAAGGGTTTTTAGGCCAGGGAGTAAAATTCGGTGGTTTGACCGAGCTGAAGGGAGCCAGTTCTGCCTTGCTGTAACAGCACATATGGCCTAGGAGACCGTGGGCTGGCTGGGGTTGTGTTGGGTGACGGTGGTGGGTGGGGTTTTTTCTTTTTTTTTTTTTTTTTGCTTTTTTAATGTCTTCATTAGCAAGTCTGGCACTAAATGTGGTGATATTCTCTGAGGTGAATTTGAGTACTTAAATATCTTGGCCTGAATAGAGGTTTAAAAATAGAAGCCTACAGCAGTTAGATGCTTCTGCTGATCTTCCCTCTGAAGGACGAGCGACCGAATCGCTTGCACCCTGCCATGAAAGCGGGTTGCGTTGCAACCTGGCTTCTCTGCAGCCTCCCTCCTGGGGGCCCTAGGCCTGGTTTTGGTGGTCAAAGGATGGTTTCGAACAAGATTTGTGTCCTGAAGGTGGCCAGGCACTGGAAATTTGTTCTCTTAAGCCTAGCCCTCGCGACCCACTGTCCTCCTGCTCCTGTTGTGCTGCAGTGGAGGGTGCTGGGTGCTCTCTGTGGTTCTGTGTTGGTTTTGGTTGGTTTTTTTTCCCTGTACTCCAGATGTGGAGGTTACGTCTGGGTTTGCAAACACCCATGAGTGCTCTTTGCTGTGTTCCTGCGTGGGGTTTGCATGGCCTGGAAAACGTTCAAAATTGC